ATCCCACATGCCACGGAGCGGCTGGGCCCGTGAGCCATGGCCGCTGAGCCTGCGCGTCCGGAGCCTGTGCTCAGCAACGGGAGAGGCCACAACAAGTGAGAGGCCCGCGTACCGCAATAAAATAAAAAAAAAAAAAAATTAACTAATTAATTAAAAACAAAAGGAAAAAAATCGTAAAAAAAAATTTTGGTCATACCACATTTTTTTTTTTAATGACCCACTTTGGTATCCATGATTTTTTTTTTAATTTATTTAAAAATAAATTGGAACAAAAAGACAATAAGCCCTCCTTTCCTTGACCCTTCGTAGAAATCCCTTCAGGCCAAAAGGCCACATTCTATACAGACATACCTCCTGTTACTGCACTTCGCAGATACCGCAGGGGTTTTTTCGGGTTTTGTTTTTTGTTTTTTTACAAATTGAAGGTTTGTGGCAACCCTGTGTTGTCAGATGATGGTTAGCATTTAAAGGTTTTTTGTGTTTTTTTTTTTTAAAGAAGATGTTGGGGGTAGGAGTTTATTAATTAATTAATTTATTTTTGCTGTGTTGGGCCTTCATTTCTGTGCGAGGGCTTTCTTTAGTTGCGGCCAGTGGGGGCCTCTCACTATCGCGGCCTCTCACTATTGTGGCCTCTCTTGTTGCGGAGCAAAGGCTCCAGATGCGCAGGCTCAGTAGTTGTGGCTCATGGGGCCTAGTTGCTCCACAGCATGTGGGATCCTCCCAGACCAGGGCTCGAACCTGTGTCCTCTGCATTAGCAGGCAGATTCTTAACACTGTGCCACCAAGGAAGCCCTAAAGTATTTTTAAATTAAGGTATATACATTGTTTTTTTTAGACACAATGCGATTGCACACTTAATATAGTGTAAACATAAGTGTTATATGCACCGGGAAATCAAAAAATTCATGTGACTTTATTGTGATATTTGCTTTGTTGTGGTAGTCTGGAACTGAACACACAATATCTTGGAGGGGATGACTGTACATTGGGGGAAAGGCTTGTGTCCATTAGGGCTTAGAAATCTATTCCAGAAGCAATTGGGTAAATACCTCATCCAGTTTCCCCCAGCCCCTCTGGTCCATGGTAGACATTGCTCATGAATTCTGGCATTCTCCCTGCCAAGCCTTCCGGGCAACCTGGTGTTCCCAGGCCCTCACTGTGGTTGACTCAGAGTTGGTGAACAGGTGCCATATCCCAGACAAATTGGGACACCCGCCCCCGTTTCCCAAGCCCCCCACCTCCCCAGTGCTCCGCAAGAGCCTGTGGTCCAGGGAAAGAGGGCCTAGACATTGGGAAGAGACTCTCCGCCCACCACCCCCCTCCAGGTGTGCAACAGCAGGCAGGTCACTTAACTCCTTCGAACCTCCGGTTTCCTCACCTGTAAGATGGGTGGATGTGAGGATCACATGAGATCATAGATGTCAGGTTGCCCATGGGAAGTGGTGGCCACCTCTGCCCACCTACCTGTGTCCTCGTTCCTCCTTAGTAGTTGGTGGTTCTTCCATACACCCACCCTGCCACCCCACGAGCACCTCTCAGGTCCGCTCATGTATCTCTTTGGATTCAGGAACCTCAGACCCACTGATGCCTCTGGCCTTTCTCTACCTGCTTGAACAAGAGTTGTCTCTCCTTCATGTGAAGGAAAAAAGTAGTGTGTTTGGATTTGAAAAGAAACTGTCGGGAATCACTTCACTTTTTTTTGTTTATTTTTGCCGTGCCATGTGGTATGTGGGATATTAGTTCCCTGACCAGGGATCGAATTTGCACCCCCTGTATTGGAAGCGCAGAGTCTTAACCACTGGACCGCCAGGGAAGTCTGGGGATCACTTTTAAATAATTCTACTGCAGAAGGAAGATCATGAAGTGAATTCTCCTAACACCATCAAGGCCAGTCGAGTTTTCGCAGGTTTTTCATAGTGTATATGTTTTTGATGCAGAAGTTACCTCTGTGACTCACTTCTGCCAGAATTTGTCCTGTTCTGTCTTGTGGTTTGGGAGGCCCTGTGTCTCCACTTGCTCCTGGCAGATTGACAGCATGGGGCCTTGCGGCGCTCTTTGTCTGCCAGTGGTGTCTTGTCTCCCTTCTGTACTTTTCCGGGTTATGATGCTGCTGTTCCAGTCTGGGCAGCCACCTCAGCCAGCCACCTCCTGCCACGCCACTATGGCCCTTGAAACTAAACTGCCATGTTTTCCACTTTCTAGACCATTTAAAGGCTGACGTTGGTCCTCTTTTTGTTGCAAAAGCTGCCTAACAATAGGCCAGTAGCCAAGGTGTTCAATGGACATTTCATGGCCTTTGTCATCCTCAGACTGCTAGCATCATTCAGAGGTGGAATGGACTTCTAAAAAATCAACTCAACAAAGATCTCTACCTCTTCCTGGTCCGTACACTTTAGTAAGGTAGTTTGGTCACTGAATGTGTTTGTCACCAGAAAGGATTTATCTCTATCTCCTGGGTAAAGATCAGGTCAAAGGGGTTGGGAGTTATATAGACTATTTCAAAAATTTGGAATTCTACCCTCATCATTCCTGTGTATGATGCATCTTTCTTCCCCCTAACAGCAAGCCCAGGTTCACCTGGTTGGTGCACCCTCTGGGTGGCAGCTGACCAAAGGGGGCCTCAGGAATTAATTCTGGTTCAGCCTCCGAGATTCTTTCTTGGATGCCTAGTCCCAGGTCATGAAAACAATCACTGGGTGCCCTGCCTGCCACTTCTCCCTACAGTGGCCCACATGGTCTCTGTAAATTTGTAAAAATGCTTGTTCCATTTACATCTGACCTTTCCAAACAAAAGGTCTGGGTGTGAGTAGGTGATGATAGAAGAGGTAAAGCTATACCTTCTGGGATGGGAGTCACGCTGATTTCGTGTCCTCGGAGGGAGAATAACAACCTGGCACCTGGCAAGGGAACACCTCAGACCCCAGGAGGTGTGGGGGGTGGGGAAGGAGGGATGTAATCAGTGCTCCTTGTGCCCTCCAGATCCAACAGTGCAGCCTGCCAGTCCATCACCTGGCCCGCCTGAGCCCTGCAGCAGGCAGTGTGGCACACAGACGCAGCCAATCCTGAACCATTCTGCCACACCCAGTGCCATCAGCAGAAACGCCTGAACGTGGGCCCCGCCCACAGACGTTTACAAACACATGGACCTGCTCAGCTTCGTTCTAATCTGGCTGATAAAAGCACACGCTTCTGATGCCAAGCAGCTCCGGGCTATGCCATGTATGGCAATTGAGGCCGCAGCTACTCATGGCACTGCCCATGTGGCTTAACCAAACCAGTGCAGTGGTGTTCCAAGTCAAGTTTAACAACAAGTCCTGAACTGGAGTGCCTTGTGCCCAGCACTCTGTGTGTTTGCATGTGGGAAAGAACAAGTCACAGTGTCTCTCCATTGGGCATGAGGGCCTGCTCTGGGGCCTTGTAATTATTGGCAGTGACACCAAAGATCAACAGGTCAGTCTGAACTCCCTTGTGGGGTTCCTAATGGATAAGAGACTAGCCTTTGATTACATCCTGGCTGTCTGAAATAAGCCCTGCATGGTCACAGCTTGATGAGTCCAGGACACTGGATGGCAGGTTGGCCTCATCAACAGGAGTCACTGCTACTTTGAGTCCTGCTGACAGTAATTAAATGCCGTATGAGACAAACGGTTGTTTGTTTCCCTGTCTCCCTTGCAGCTGGATGTGACCAGGTGTCTAAATCCAGACTGAAGGGATGTGTGCTGCCTCCAGGTCGGGTCCTTAAAAGGAAGTGGTGTGCCCTCCACTTGCCCTTTTCCTTCCTGAGAACCCAATGGTGGGGGCCAGGCTCCCCATAGGCCCAGGGACGATATCCTGGAGGAATGCAGAGCACCCAGACAGAGGGAGCCCGGTCCCTGGATGATCTTGCAGAGTCACCCACTCACCTGCTCTGGACTCCCACCAGCTCAGGTTTTCGTGGGAGAGAAAAGTGAAGCTCTCTTAAGCCTCTGTCTTCAGAGTCTCTGAAAGCTGCCACATCCTTAATATAATATAGGAGCGAATAACCGGGGATCTGAAGGACCAGGCCACGGTCTCCCTGGACCCATTCACTCACTCACCCCACAATTTTATTTAGCACAGCAGTGAAGAGCTACTACTTCCTCTTGAGTCTGGAAGGTCTCACACTGCTGTCCCACAACCTACTAGCCCAGTGTCCTACTGTACCTTTTAGGGCTCAACTACATATAACATGGGGATCCTATTGCCAGTTTCATAAGGAATCATGAGACTGTGTTTGTGAATCATAATGAAAACTAACACTTACCAAGTATCTGTTTACCTTGTCCCAGGCACGCTCTGTGCAAAACCATGTACCTTATGAGGTAAGTTCCATTTGACAGAGGAGGACAATGAGGGCCAGACTGACTAACTTAATGTCCACAGAACAGTAAGGGGTAGAGCAAGGATTCACCTGTAAGCAGACTGACCGCCAGAACCCAAACTCGTAGCCACTCTAAGCTTGCTCTAACCTGCCGTTGCCACACTGCCCGGCATCAGGTAACCTAATTCACCAAATGATAGGGAGCACCAACTCCGAGCCACACCGTTCCAGGCGCTGAGCAAAGCAACGACGCTCCCACCCTCCTGAATTTATGTTCTGCCGGGAGAGACAGGCACTTTCTCTCATATCCTGCACACGGTTGTCGGCAAAGCCACAATCACTGTTCACCTCCTCTTCTCACTGAGAGTAAAGACCAAAGATCTTTGATTTACAAGACACTCCACCACCCACCCCAACCATCCCTCCTTTTCTACCTCTCTCCCTCCAGCTCTTCAGATACACAGGTACATCCCTGCCTCAGGGCCTTTGCACTTGCCACTCCCTCTGCCTAGATATGCCTCCGTGTTCTTGCGTGGCTTGTTTTCTCACCTTCAGATCTGTACTCAGAAAGGCTTCAGTGAGGCTTCCCTGGTAACTCTCTGAAATCCAGCGTCTCCCAAACATACTACATAGTTATTCCCTGGTCCCCCTTCTTGCTGTATTTCTCTTCTTAACACATAGTACTTCAAAAAAAAAAAAAATAAGAGTTCATTGAGTTATAAGTTACATAAAACCCATTTCAAATATACAATTCAGTGATTTTTAATAATTTTACCAGGCGGTGCAACTATCACCATAAATCTGTTTTAGAACATTTTCATCCCCTTCCCCCCAGTAAAATCCCTCATGGCCATTTACAGCTAATCGCCATTCCCACACTCAGCTCCCAGCAACCACTAATCTACTTTGTCTCTCTGATTGCCTTTTCTGAATGCTTCATGTGAATGATATCATACAACATGCAGTCTCTTGGGTCTGGCTTCTTTCACCCAGCATAATGTTTTTGAGGTTTATGTAGCTGTAGCGTATGTCAGGAGTTCATTCCTTTTTATTGCTGAATAGTATTCCATCGTATGGATAGATATATCACATTTTGTATATCTATTCACCAACTGATGGACAGTTTTGTTTCCAGCTTTTTCTAACATACTCTACATTTTGCCTTGTTCCCAGCACTAGAATGTCAATTCCACGGGGCTGGAATTTTTGCTGGTTTTGTTCAGCTCTGTGTCCCCAGAACTTGAACTGGGCTGGACACATGGTAGGTACTCAATAAATATATGCTGAAGGAACACGTGAGAATAAAGATAACCTCAGAGAGTGGTAAGCAAGGGCTATCTACGCTGGCCACGAAGCAGGGGAAAGGGGATGGAGTGACGAGGCTCCGTGGAGCCAGCAGTCAGGACAGTCTCCTCTAAGGAATGGACTTTGGAGCAGAGACCTGAACGCACAAGGCTGATTACTACACGCTCGTCATCATCCACAGGCCTCAGCTACCTGCTCCTGCCTAAATGCCAGCCTTGCCTGCCACTCCTGCAGGTCCAGGCAGCCAACTTGGCAGCAGGGCTGGGCTGGAGAGGGACTTGCAAGGACTAGCCTCACAGCCATCGGAACAGATGACGCAGGCCCCAACTCCTCCCTGGGCCTAACCTGGGCCCTGCGCAGTGTGGGGAGGGAAGGCTGGGCTCGCCTGGCTGCCCCTTCTGCTGAGTGACCCCCAGGGTGAGATAAAGGGGTCAGGCACAGCCTTGGACTTGAGCTACACTGCCTGGGTTCGAATCTCAGTTCTAGCCTGTTCACAAGGAGCTAATTTTGTCCGTCATCTTAACTGGTCCCTCAGTTTTCTCATCTGTAAAATAGGGATAGCAACCATAGCTACCTTTTACTTAAAAGCCAAACATTATTTTATAAGCACTTACTCCTTGTAACTGTGTGCAGGCATGGTTGTGGGAAACTAATCCATTTGATTCTTACAACAGCTCCATATGGTAGCTGTTCTTTACAGATGAGGAAACTGAGGCCCAGAGAGGCGGAGTAACTTTCCCCAGATTACTCCGCTACTAAGTAATACAGATGGGCTTCCAATCAGCAGACTGGTTCCAAGTGCATGCTCTTCACCCCTTCAGACACTGCTTCTCACCAAGCCAAAGGCATTGTTACAGTGAGTTAATGTATCTGAAGCCCTTGGGACAGCAGCCCAGCACGTAGTAAGTACACAAGGAGTGTCAGTATTATCACAGAGGGCACAGGGAGGCACCCTCCCTCTCATTTCTTCAAAAGCAAGGATCTGACCCTTTTAGGGGAAGCTGATAACAGCTCTAGCCCCTCAAATCTGCAACTGCCCACACATTCCTCCCCCAGCCCCACCCACCACTCACTTGCCAAGGCTCACTGGGTGGGTGGTGGTGTGGGGGAGACATAAGTTAACTGTCCACCCTCCCCATTTCCCAGAGGACCAGTTGGGCGGTGCCGGGGAGGGGCTGTGAGTCAGGGCTAAGGACTCTGAACAAAGGTCTCGGGTAGGGCTCCTCAGAACTTCCGGGGCTGGCCCACTGCCTCTCCCCAAGGCCGGTCCCCTGCCTTTGGCCGTGCAGACATACCTTCTCTCAGCACCATGGAGCACCTGTCGGCAGGTGCGCTCCTGGCGAGTGGGGAGCTTGAGGGCCAGGGGGCCAGACTCAAACCCAGGGACTGCCTCCAACGGGGCATTCCCTGCGCTTGCACCAACGCACCCAATTTCTCTTCTCTCTGCAGCCCTGGAGTCCACCTCCAAGAAGCCCCACGGGGCAGGCCAGGTGGGAGACCCCAAGCACGCCCCCGACAAAGTCGAGGGAGCTGATAACCCGAAGGTAAGTCACTTCATTCTTAGGAGGGTGTTTTTGACCCCAGGGCCCCGCTAGGTCTGGGGCCTCCGACACGGGGGGATGGGAGCTGGGAAAGGGGTCCCTGGCCTCACTGCCATGCCTCCGACTACCATCAGCACGGCCACGGCCACGGCCACGGCCCCGGCCCCGGTCCCGGTCACGGTCACGGTCACGTTCACGGTCACGGTCACGGCCACGGCCCCGGTCCCGGTCACGGTCACGGCCACGGCCCCGGTCCCGGTCACGGTCACGGTCACGGCCACGGAAGCTCCTCAGGTTCCGGCAGCGGCTCCAGCGACTCAGAAAATGAGGCGAAGGTAAGAGGCTTACCCCTCACTAGCGGATGCCCGGCGCCCCAGCCCGGAATTCGGGCCGACGTCTCACAGGCGAACCCTCTCTCTCCTCTCCCTCCCCCACCGCCCTCCGCCCCACAGCCCAGCGCTGCCGTTTCCGAGCTGTACAAAAGCGCCCCGGGCAAGGTCAAGAAGCCCAAGGTGAAAAAGGAGAAGAAGAAGGAGGAGAAGAAGGAGGGCAAGAAGAAGGAGGGGAAGGAGGCTTCCCACTGACGGGCCTCTCCGGGGCTCATTAAACCTTCTCTCGGCCTCCAGGTTGCCTTTTGTCCCCCGCCCTTCCCCATCCCCCTTCTCGGACCGGGCCTGCCCCCTGCTGGGCACCGCGCGCCAAGGAGAGGCTGCCCACGCCGTGCCCATTACGGTTTATTGTTTCTGGAACAGTGGCCGCACTGCTGGGGGGCGGCCTGTGCAGCTGGAGATCTCAGCACCTCGGCGAGGATGGGGAGGGAGGGACTCGGGCGGCGGGGTGGACCCTGTGGCCGGCAGGTGGCCGGGAGATGAGCGGCGGCAGCGCGGTAGCCACCGGAAGCAGCAGCTGGAGGCGTTGTGGGGCCGCCCTCACCGCACCAGGTGGAAGGTGAGCCAGTACATGAGCAGGGGCTGCGCCGCCGCCACGGCCATGGTCAGGTACATGCGCAGCTGGTTCCGCGCCCCACGCACCGGGATGCCCTCGGCCGCCGCCTCGGCCAGGATCTTCAGCCGCAGCGTCCGGATCTGGGCGGGGGAGGGGTTCACTCTTGAGCCCGCACTCCTTCCAGACTCCAGTTTCCCCACCCCTCCATAGGGCAGCTGGGCTCAAGTCTCTGCTCTTGAGGAACCTTGGTTTCTCCCAAATCTCCTAACACACGTGGAGGACCTGCTCCTCCTCCCAGGCCTTGGGAGAAAATGTGAGGGTTCCAAACTCAAACGCTAGGCGAGGCCTCTTAAGTGAGTGAGGTGAGGAACTTCACTGTGAATACTCCACCTGAGGGGATGGCCAGGCTTGGCCCTTTGGCCACCACCAGCTTGTGTTGACCCTTGACAATTTTTCAACACAAGCCAGAAATGCCTTCTTTTTCTTCTTAACTTTTTTCTCCCTCCCCTCCCCCCCCCAGAATTTTAAATAATGACATCTAAGTCGAAGTTTATCTGAGCAGATCTGGCCCACCAGCCACTAGTTTTTGCCCTCTGCTCCTCACACTGAATCCTCCCAGTACCCTGACGTGCAATTATCATTATCCCCATTTTACAGAAGGGGAAGCAGGTTTAAAGAGAGGAAGCGATCTGCCCAGGATGGAGCGAAGCCTGGGTTCAAACCCAGGCCTGGTGGATCCCAGTGCTCTTAACCAGCACCTCCACTCCAGCTGGATGAACTCTCAGAGAAGCTACTTTGAGGATACTTAACTCTTTTCATCCTAAAGGAAATTCTGGTAGGAAGCCCATCATGCAAGGCGAGTGGAGTGAGGGTGAGAGCCCACTCTAGCAGCCTGGCTGGCGCCTCCTCTTCCTTCAGGACCCCGCTTGGACACCCCCTCTTCCAGGAAGCTCTCCGGACCCTCAGGCTAGGGCAGCCACTCCAGGGCTCCTCAGTTCACCAGTGTGGGGCCTCTGGTCTAAACTCCCCACCTGACATCCCCTGCTTGGATGCCTCCAGGGACCCCCAACTCTGCCCAGGAGGCCTGTGCCCTGAGTCCCATCCTTCCCTGAGCCCCAGCTCACCATGAACACAAAGATGGACACACAGCACCAGCCCAGCACCAGGTAGTAGCCAATCTTTCCAAAGAGCAGGCCCATGAGGACCCCACCAATCATCCTGTGGGGGAAAGGGGAAGGCTGGTCTGAGGAAGAAGCCCCAGAGCTGGGGGCTGGCGGTGGGAAGGTGGAGAGGGTACTCACCCAACATATTTGTAGCCCAAGAAGGCCACCAGGTCGATAGTGGTGAGGTCTGTGTTGACAGTGACAAGGTAGAGGCTGAGCAGGATGGCCAGCACCTCCAGTGTCAGCCAGGCCAACGCCGAGCTCGCCTGCAGCCCCAGGAGGTCTGGAGAGAACCTGTCAGCACCCAGTCTCTGTCATTCAGTTAGCTGGCTCAGACCCTCCCTAAGCATCCCCCTGGGGACAGCCTGTATGGGGGGGGGCGGGGCATGCTGAAGACCCGGCAGGGGCCAAGATGGATCTGGGCCCTGTCCTGGAAATCCCATCCCCAGTGACAGCCCAGAAAGGTCAGGGCTGGGATGGGGGAAGCACAGGGCAGGGGAGATGTGTGACCCCGTTGGGAGGTGGGTATCAGACACTTGAGCTAAGGCTTGAAGGAGTAAGGAGCTGATTGGGGAAGAAGGACCTTAGTCTCTGCCATATCCCCAGTGCCTCAACAATTAACTGACTCTAATGACAACTGTTTTCCATGCCACAAAGGAAATGAACAGGGGTCTATGAGTGAGAGGTGGGGGCCTGACGCAGGCTGGAGGGTGGAAAGGCTTCCCTGAGGAAGTAACAGCGCAGTGGAGACATCATGAGTGAATAGGTGCTCAGCAGGTGATGTAGGGGAGGAACACACTCCCCAGCAAAGGGAACTGATGTGCAAAGGCCCTGGGAAGGCAACCCAGGTCCTCTGAAGAAACAGAAAGAGGACCAGAGTAGCACAGCAGAGTGAGGGAGAGGGGCAGGCAGTGCCAGGCTAAGGAGCTGGGGCTTGGTCTGGGGACAGGGGAGCTAGGGACAGCTTCTGAGCAGGGGGGGACATGGCCAGGCTCACCTCTCAGCCAAGACCTTCCTGCTGGAGTGGGGGTGCAGGGGGTGTGTGGGGGCCGGGCAGCTGGTTAGGAGAGGCCAGGGGAAGGATGGATTTAGTGTCACCCAGCACAGGGTGTGGTGATGGGCTGCACACGGGTGGGAAAGAGGAAAGGGACAAGGGTGACCCTGAGGGTGACCGTGCGGGCTCTGTCTTGGGCTAACTGGGAACATGGTGGGGCTCTTCTGAGACAGGGGAACCAAGAGACCTTCCTGACTGCCCCTCAGCTCCCCCAAACCCCACACCACTCTGCCTACTCCAGGCCTCTCTTACCTATCCTGGGTCCCCAGCGCCAGGCCAGCCACCAAGACGTAGGTGATGAAAGCCATGGCTGTGAGAGGGAGACACACAGACACTAGTCAGAAGAAGAAGGACCATCCAGGGCCTCCGGGCACCTAAACCTCTGCCCGAGACAGGCCCACCCAGAGGGAGGAGGGCACCGGGCTGTGGTGGGTAGGGTGAAACCTGGAATGTAGAGGTCAGGAGCGTTGACATCAAAGCGCGGGGCCACTGGTGTGTCCTGCTGGTACTGCACCTCCCAGTCCTGTGGGGAGGGCGGAGGGGGCAGGCAGGACCAGAGCTAGGCTCCTGGCCCGCCTACAGGCCCTCTCTCGGCCTATCTTCCTGCCTCTCACGCCTGCCCCAGCCTGACCCACCCCTGTCTACAGGCTGCCACCCCGCTCAGATGCTCACCTGGTGCAGGTAGGGGAAGAAGAGCAGACCCAGCTTTTTGCCCACATACATGGTGTCCACAGCGAAGTAATACTTGAGCTTGGTGACGGGGATGAAGCGGTCGATCTGGGGAGGCAGAGCGCCAACCTGAAGCCCTGGCCCCAAGGCCCCTACCTGCCCCCACACCCACCAGCCCGGCCCACTCACGTTCTTATCCACCAGCTCCTTGCCCTGCGCGGCTAGGCTGCTCCCGTAGGCCATGGCCATGTTGGAAACAGGATCACCCAGGAAGGCCGACTGGGGCGAGGCAGAGGCTGTAGGGTAGCCCAGGCCGCCAGGCGCCCGCTGGGCCCCATAGCCTCGGCTCTGGGCCGAACTCGTGTCATCAAAAAGCTGGTGGGGGTCAGCCATGCCTGGCTGGGACACAGGTACCCTCCGCTTCGAGGCTGCAGGGGGAGAAGGGTGGGGAGCCTCATTCATTTTGCAGGAGCTCTCCCTCCCACTTCTGCCGCAGTGGGGCACTGTCAGGTGGGTTGTCTAGTCAGGTTTGGGCGGCCTCTGCCTGCCTGCCATCCATCCATCCATCCAAATAACAATGAGGAGGAGGAGGACGACGATGACAGCTACTATGTACTGGGGTTGACTGTGCACAGCGCCCTGTGCTAAGCCTCTTACGAACAAGGTCTCTAGACAGACCTTCTCCGTGCACGTTCTCTCTTACTCATCCAGCTCCAGCCACACCGGCCCCAGTACTCAGTGAACACACCAGGCACATTCCCACCTCAGGGCCTCTTCACTGGCGGTTCCTCTGCCTGAACGCTCTTGCCCCAGACATCCTCAGGGCTCCCTCCTCTCCTCGAGGTCTTGGCTCCGTGGGGCCTTCCCCAGCCATCCTGTCTACAACTGCATCTCCCTTGGTGCCATCCCCTCATCCCTCTTCCCCACTTCATTTATATCCACAGAACTCAGCAACAGCTGACATACTAGCTGTTTATGTTATTCACTGTCTGTCTCCCCCACTCAAATTTGAGCCCCCGCCAAGGTGAGGAGCTTTGTCTTGTTTGTGACTGAAGCCCCAGCCCCTAGAACAGGTGCTTGATAAAAACCTGATGTAAAAATAAAAATAAATAAATAAAAATAAATAAATTTTTAAAAAGGGCTTCCCTGGTGGTGCAGTGGTTGGGGGTCTGCCTGCCAATGCAGGGGACACGGGTTTGAGCCCTGGTCCGGGAGGATCCCACATGCCGCGGAGCGGCTAGGCCTTTGCGCCATAACTACTGACCAGTGCTCTGGAGCCTGCGAGCCACAACTATTGAGTCTGCGAGCCTGGAGCCCGTGCTCTGCAACAAGAGAAACCACTGCTCCCCGCAACTGGAGAGGGCCTGCGTGCAGCAATGAAGACCCAACGCAGCCAAAAATAAATAAAAATAAATTTAAAAACCTGATGAATGAATAAATGGCCATGCCCATTTTACAGATGTGGAAACCGAGGCTCAGACAGGCTAAATGACTTGTGCAAAGGGCCAAAATGAGGGAGTGACAGAGCAGGATTCCAGCCCAGGTCACCCTGTTAAATATTGTAATAATTAAACCCCAGCTGAGCACTTAAACCACACACCAGGCCATGTTCTAAACACTGTGGATTAACTCATTTAATCCTCACAACAATCCATTTTGTGTTGGTGAGACTATCATCCCATTTTACAGATAGGAACCGTGAGCCCCAAAGAGGCTCAGGCCCTTGCCCAGAGTCATACAGATGGTGTGAAGCAGAGCCGGGTTTCAAGTTTTCAAAAGATCCCTCCATT